CTGTCGTCAGTGGCCCCTCTCGTGGTCTCAAAAGATCCAGCGTTGACGATGAGCCGCAAATCATGCGTTGGAAGAACTTTACCTTGCTATAAGTACTTAAGTGTCCAAAATTCTACGCAGACGACTAAGCAACTTCTTCTTTGCTGCTATGGAGCGTCTATAGACTTTTTGAAGTTTCTAAGAAGAGACCTCGGGTTTGATACGGAAATTTATTTCAATCAGATGGGCGATACGGGAAGTTTCGAACCCGTGAACAGCACCTGGAATGGAATTATAAATGAAATTATCTCAGGCAAAGCGGATCTAGCTCTCGATGTGGCCGGAAACTTTGAAAAGATCAAGGGTAGTGGAATTTGCATACCCTAGCATTGCATCAGCAATGAACATTTGGTCAGGAAAGATCGCTCCTACAAAGGAACAAGGGGTATAAGGTTATTTTTGCAATGTGGCCAGGTTTGCTTACTTGCAAGAAAGTGTCAGGCTCGATTTAAAAATCAGATCAGTGCCGATATAAGTCGGGACTCAATTAATCCTGATGTAACACAGTATCCAGTATGACATTGTTAGGAGTGGTGAGAATACTTTCAGATAGTGTACTTTTATTTTTTATTTTTCATCTTTTTTTTTTTTTTTTTTTTTTTTTTTGCAAAAGAAACTCAATCGTGGAAATCTTTAAAAATGTAATTTAAATACTTCTACTCTTTCTCTATCAGTAAGCATCTGGTACTCTTGGCTGGAACCGTTCCGATATGAGCTTTGGATCGCTATCCTGGTAACATGTAACGTGATCCTGTTTGGATTTTGGTGGCTTGACAGGAAGAGTCCAAAAAGGATATTATGTCCTCCTCAGGACAGTGACGAAGAATGCTTTTACACTTCTAGGTAAACTAAAAGCAAATCCATATAGTTTTAGCAAGGGATGGGAATGGGAAGAAAAAAGATAAAGCATTTATCGCTTGGTAACACTAGCCTGGGACATCTTTGGTGACGATTCGTACACTCTAAAATGATGACTCAGGTCCTAGAAGCTTTATACACAGTGCACTCCTGAAAAGGACGGTTTTTGTTAGTGATGACCGACTTTCAGACAACCGAAGCAGGAGTCATCTTAAGGTCAGGTGTCTAAGTCAGAATAAAGTACCTTTACCCTAATGATGACTTCCACTTAGATTGGTTTTTCGAAACCCAAGTCACCGTCACCGTCACCGTCACCGTCACCGTCACCGTAAACGAATTCTTTTAGATGAGCCTTTACCCGGACGATCATGCTAACGCTATCGGGTTGATATCATTAACTGTGCTAAGACTTTCTTTCCAGACGCCATGAGTTATGTTTGGGGCGTGGCATTTAGTAAGGACATTGGTGCGGAAAAGACTCCACGCAGCAACAGCGCTCGTACCGTTTCCGCGGTTTATGCGTTACTGGCCTTGATCATGGTGAATACCTACTGTGCAAACCTCATGGCCTTCTTACTTGATGATCCATACAAACTGCCCATCAGTGGTGTAGAAGATGCCAAGGTAAGTGCCGTTTATCGAACCTTGTTCAATTGAGTATGAAAAGCATCAAGAATTGTAAAGTGTTTGCTAGAACACGACCTCTAATTGGTTCAGGGAGCTTGCCTCATTATCTCCACCGATCAGAAGAAAAATGTATTTCAAACTTAATCAAACTCAGATTGCATTTTAGTTACTATTCATTCCCGACGTTAGACACCAAACGACATGATTCCCGTTTATGCCGGTTGCCGTTATTCCAATTGTACTTTTGTTGGCTCCTTGACTGTCCTGATCAAATTGGTTCTGCTAACTAACGCTCTATCGAAAAGCATTCGACTACTTTTCAATTTTTATGTGCAGCAAAATGCAGCTACTCTGACATTACAAATACTGTAATTTCAGCTTGCGTTAAAAATAACCATCACTATTACCCAAGTTTATGACAGACTGAAATGATGAATTAGTTTTCCCAAAAGCGAGCGAGTTTAAACCACGATCTTGCTGTGAGAGGGCGCGAGGGATTTAGGTCTGTAAACATCCTATGGAATTTGCCTTCAGTTAACATCGACTGAGTAATTGCAAAAACTAATCTTAGCCTTAAGAAAGACGCGAAGCATTTGTCACCAAAAAAGAACCGAAAAAAGGAATTTGATGACATATGTAAAATTCGAGTCCCAATCAGTAGAGCTACAGATGCTCTGAAAAAAAGAGCTACGGACGTAATTTTTTTTCTACATCGTTTTTATTTTCTACAAAAAAAAGGCTAAGGAAGGATTGCAATCCAAAGCACTAGTTCCAAAGACGTTTCAGTCCACCTCTGTCGTCTAATGTTATTCTCGTCTCATTTCAATAGCTCACCGAGAAGTCTCTTTACCCACCGGATGGTTTTAAACTCGGAGTCACACGCGGGAGTAACGAGGAAGCATACTTCAAAAATCACGTCAAATACTTTTTCAGGAAGATTTACCACGTTAACTTAAAAATACATCTGGTGGATGGTTTTCAGGCAGGGATACAGCAGCTTACAAACGAGTATGTTTTAAGTAAATTATCATCTTCGTATGCAGTCATGTTTCTTGAACTTTTTAGATCCGAGGGCTGGATATTCAAAACCAGACAACTTCTCATCGTGGTAGTTTGACAAATAACACACGCACAATCAATGAGTCCGCCACACAGCCAATGAGTTGTTACTCAATTAAACAAGACAGTGAGTCAGTCCGTAAATTGATCCGCAGCCATTTAGTCAATCAGTAATGCAGCTTGTCGTGCGGTCCATGAGTTTGTTTGCTAATCAGTTAGAACTTGATCATTAATTCATTCAATTATTTCTGCAATCAGTCAGTAAGTCAGTCAGGGTCAGCCAATCAGTTGATTGGTCTGTCAGACAGTAAGCCAGTAAGACAGTTTGACAGGCAGAGAAGCAGGCAGTTCATCACTAATTATGATTTGAAATAAGCTGCTCGTCAGTAAAGAATTTACTTAGTTCTACTAATTGCTGTCCGCAATATTTTCTATCTCAGCGAGCTGGATGGACTTGTGGGTGACTACTTGTCTTTGAAGCAAGCTGGAAACAATGATGCGAACTGCAGATACAGCCTCGCTGGGGAAAACTTCTACAACTTTGGCTATGGTTTTGTTTTCCCAAAAGGTTCACCATGGATAGAGGAAGCAACTTTGTCAGTGTTAAAGAACCAAGAGAATGGCAGTATTCAAGCTATTTTAGATTACTGGTTCAACAAGAAGGAATGTACCACGAAACCAGTGAAAGAACTTGGTCCTGAGAAATTTATTGGGTTATTTCTGCTTCTTCTCGGTGTAATTGGGTTCAGTATAATTTCTTTGATATCCGAGATGCTCATCATATTTGTGTTGGTTAAATTCGGACGTCACCTGGGTCCCATGGGAAAGTCTTTGACGCGCATGATCTTTAGTGTGCGCAAGGGAGAAGAAAACGACATTCATATAAAGTGGTTGCAGTTGTACAGGAGACATAAGAGCATGCGCCCAAACGAGGTACAATTCACTGAACCTCATCACGATGTTTCGATTCGAAGAGCGAGCTTTTTGTAACCTGAGCTTTGAGTATGCAAATGAGATGTTACCCTTTGATGAACAGTCGGTGTATCTTCGTAGAAGTCAGCTATTGGCAGTGGAAGATCTATCCCTTTCGGCTGGTGGGAATTCCGAATCAAATAACAATACCTCTGATAGAACAGAGAATTCGACGCTTTGAGTATCAATAGATGATGTGGCTTTAGATTATACCAACACAAAACTGGCGAAATCATTGGGCAAATAGGCATCCCTTGTCACTCAGCACTCGTAGGGGTACCGAAGTTAGTAGCACACCAACGAAGGCGAAAAAAATTGAAACTTCAATATCTGCTATGGCTGTATTGATAGATTATACTAAAACAAAATTTTAATTTAAGTCTTCTGAGAAGTCAAAATATAGCCTGAGAAATGAGTGACGTGCAGAAAGAGCATTAAGGCTATTCTTATCCTGATAATATAAGGACTACGCCCAACCCAGTGAAGTTAAGAGTTCAAATGGATAAGTGAGTAAAATGTTGTCCAAACGTAGCACATACGTTTCACTAATACCTTTCGTTTCAATTGGGTGCAATATTTGTACCTCAACTAATTATGTGCGGGTCTCATAGCAAATACATGCGAGGGGAAAAGAGAGAAGAAAATGATCATCAGAAACAAGTTTACGTTGACATAAACGGCAAGAATTGAACTTTTCAGTTGTGGAGCAAAAACAAAATTACATAAAATTGTCGCAAATGAGAGATCTTTCTGTATCTTTCCCAGGAGAACTCTCTCGGTCTATTTGGAGTATAGGTGATTCTACAACCGTACATAACTCTGTCATAAAACTTGCAACACACTCAGTAAGAACGTCCCCCCGCCATGTGGAACATCACTTTTACTGACATTTATGGCCCAGTCAACACAAGTTTCAAGACCATGACGCCTACCACACCAATAAATAAAATGGTTCCATTAAAAATACGTACCATAGTATGTTCGCTTTGAACAAGTGTAGAAAACTGTTTCATTATATGAACTGTTCAGAAGTAAACATGATTAAGATGAAAAGTAGACTTTCAACTTTATAATTACAACGTATGATTTTATACAACTTTGTATTATACCCATGTCTTTTTTACAGAATTGTTCTACAGTTCAAAGAAATAAAAGGAGAGGAAGTAAAATACAGCTATGCTGTCCCGTTTGTCCGTTACGGCCGTCAGGCTCTTTATTTAACATGCTTCTAAAAAGTAGCTTGTGCTGTAAAAATAAACAAACGCACAAAAGCTGAAGGAACGATTGTTACTAAAACCAATTATCCACAAGAACGCATTAGTAATAAACAAATAAATAAATACTGACACACTTCAAGTTTTCACCCTTAGTCTGTTTTCACGACGAATGTATGTAACAATAAAGTTGCATTTTAGCTCCACAACACATTCTTTACAGAGTCGACCAACTGTTGAAAACAATAAAATACATGGGGCAAGAGTTTACTGAAACAAAAATTAAGTAAATAAACTCCTTCCGGTAGCTGGTGTGTCGATGGCTAACTTCCACGACTGGGTAATTGTCCGAAAACGAATTTTCTGGGGGAAAGCGAAGCTTCGAGGGAAAATGTGAAATTTTGAGGACAGTCTCTCAGCAAAGGACATCACAGCCGACATACCAGCAAGCCAGAAGGTGGCTTATTTGATTTATAATCCTCCCATTACGTGTCATACCGCGCGATGACAATAAATTTTCTTGACATTTTGTACTTTCTGGAGCAGAATTTGAGATCTGCTTTTTAATATCACTACCACGATTACTCTACTAAACCAATTGGTTTTTCTTCCGGGTAAAGTAATAAAGATTAAAAAGTAAAACACTAGAGCTGGCTTCTTCCCGGTCCAGTGATTTTGCACCACGCGATGTAAAGTAGCCAATAGAATCACGCGGAAATTAATAGTGGGTTGCAATGTCACATAGACCATGGAAAACTAATCTATATTAACACATCAAATTCATCCATGGTCTCAATTCCTTACATCTTCCTTTCTCACGTTGGTAAAAATGTAGATTTAAGCCCAGGGATTCTTGTTTTGTTCAATTGAATCTGAGGGAAAAAATGGCATATTATTTAAATTGGTCTTTCAGTAAATTATCATCACATATCATATCCTTTAAAAATATAATATGTATCGAGAAATGAAAACTACGGAGGAGTTATTGAACTGTCGTTCACACACCTTGTACTAAGTCGTCGGCAGATTCTTCCACAAGGCTGTGTTTGTCAAAGAGACCTGGCAATTCGGGGACCGTGCTGGCCACAGAAGACTGAGATCTACGCATTGACACTTCCTGTGAACTGAGGTGAGAGTAAAATCAGAGAATCACTTGGACGACTATTCCAATCTAGGCACACAAATCAGCCTCTCTATCGACAAGTAAATACATGAAAAACTCATTACAAACGTTGTTCTCTATTGTTTAATTTTACAGCGAAAAAACAGTTCGCCTCATCGTCCTTTCTTGGCCCCCTTCACATCGTGTAGAGAGTCTTTCTTAAATCATTATTGTTATTATTATCATTGTTCTTTAGCGTTATGTGACAACCAAAGTACTAAGCAAAGACACAAGGCCATCAAACTTGGCTCGTTACTTTAGTTAAAAGTACCTCAGCTGTCGAAGCTCTTTACGAGAAACCCTAACAGGAGTAGAAGCTTGAGAAGGAACTCCCATTCCCTTTTCGGCGAGAGAATGCTTTAAGGTAATAGATAACAAAATGGAAGATATCAATCAATCAATCAATGAATTTGAAGTTCAGTTTGTCCGTACGTTGGTCCGTGAGTCAGTCAGTCATTTAGTCAACCAATCATTCAATAAGTCAGTCATTAATTCAAACAGTCAATCAGTTACTTATTGAGACAAGATAATTTGGTTTTATCAGATGAGTTGATGATGTGAATTGGCCACCGTTCAGAGAACCTAAAGCCGATGTTCGAATGTTAGACCCTTTTAGAGCGCGGATTTGCTCTGACGAAAGGCTGAAGCTGGAACCTCAGCTTTAGAAACTCTTTACGGTGGACAATTCACATTATAAACTCAATTGATGAAACCAAATTATATTGTAATACGCCCCACCAACGCAGCACCATAGTTTATTTAAAGACTTACCCTTATTATTCAGTTATTGAGACGGTCAGTGAGCAAGTCGATCAGTCAACAATCCAGTCTGTCAGTCAATCAGTCAGTCATTTACTCAGTAAGTCAAACAGTCAATCAGGCACAAAGTCAGTCTGTCAGTCAGTGAGTAAAACAGTTATTTTATTAGTCAGTCAGTCAGTGGACAATAAGCTAACTAACCAACGGCAAAAAATTAAAAAATGTTAGAGTGTAACCAAGGAATTACAAAGCCAAAGAGGAAAACAAGACACCCAACGTAGGATACCCAAAATGCAGGCCAAAAAGGAAGCCAACAGTCATTCTTAAAAATCACCAGAGGAATATTTACCTTCATACGGGAAACGTCTGTCGCTAAATGCTTGGTGTAGACATCTGTACTTTTTATGCTGAGCTTCCAGTTCACTACTGGCCATAAAAACATCCGATTCAACACTGGTACCCATTCCAGACACCATCTTCTCTCGCAGTTTCTTTTTCAGGTCGCGGCTTGTTTTCTTGTAGTAATACAGATCTTTCTCCAACTGTTGGGCTCTATTTTCAAGTTCACTGCGATAAAAGAGAAATATTTGGTTTAGTTTACATGCTATCACAATTGTATCATTTTCTTTGTGTCCGTACGACTGCAGATCTTCATTTCACCCTTGTGACAGGACATAACCTTTTATCTACATACAGTATTTTTCTACGTGAGCTATGGTAGACATCACTCTTAGCTGAATTACACTTCAACGCTATGCTTACATTATTTCTTTCAAACAAATGCGACAAAACCAAACACAAATATTAGACAACAACAAAAACAACAACACGGTATACCAGCGAAAAAGGGTGACTTAAATTCTGCATTTCAAACTAAATCAAATATGACCCGGATTATTGTTACGTTTTTTAATAAGGTACCTTATTCTCTCATCTGGTGTCTCATTTAACTCAGCATCACGAAGTTTGTTCATTAAGAACTGTATCCTCTGTTCGTATTTCTTTTGATGCTCCACTAGCCTTCGGTCCCCTTTTATTCCAGCTTGCTGCAATCCACGACCCAGTTCACCAATGATCCGTTCTTGCTCGGTTATACGAACCTGGCGAAATTCAATGTAAAAAAATGGTAAGTAACATACTCATGTTGCAAAGTAATTTACAAAATTTAATCTCAGATGGAAGCAAAACATTCTCACGGAGGGAGAGCCAGTTTTCGCTGTTCTATCCTTTTGCTGATTATGTATTCATTTTTCTCCGAAGAGGAAGACGAATTATCATCAGACTGCCTTTTATACGTTACCCCATCGCTGATTCATTTATACTTACCTCCAAATCGCTACAATGCAGCTCCAGTTTCTTCTCACTTCCCCGCAACTCGACAACTTTCTCAAAGTATTTGGACAACAGGGCGGTGGCTTCCCTTTGTGGGAGGT